TTCTGTACGGTGCTTCAGTTGCGCAGCGACCAGCCCCAACATATCCTCACGACCCCGAAGAAGCTTAAGGCGCGTGGCATCGTAGACATCAGCCTGAGCTTTGTAGAAACTTTCCTATTATTCGGTTAGACAAATCCAAAATTCCCCCTTCCGTCAATCTCACCAAGGCATCCTGCTGGCTCCCAGATCCGTCGCCAGTGTGCGGCTTCAAGAAGCAACCATAGATGAACTTGAGGTATGCTTCAAACGTGCTCGGCGCCTGCTCTTTACTCCTTGGCCTGAACGCAAGAGCAAAGACGACGGCAAGAAACACGCCGACGACACACAGAGTAACCGTAAGTTGGTGAAACGGGTCACGCGGAACAAAGGTTGAAAGGCCCAGCATAGCTGCGACGTTGCAACAAAACGAGACAGCTCGAAGCAATGATCAGACAAGAGACGAAGGGAAAGAGGTAAACACAACAAAACAAAAAGAAACCCCACAACCACAATGGAGGGGTTATATGAGAACACATTCCGAGAGACATGGGCATCATTCCGACTTCGGTTCGTCATACTGCATGTCCATATGATGGTAGACCTGTCACCCCACTAGGCGAGGCATCGTCTTCATGTCTCAGACAGCTATCAGCCAATGGAGCTCGCCACATGTTCTGATGATCTCGAAACGGCGCCTGGCAACCTGCCCGCAGATTCACAAACATTCTACCATAATGTTACGGAACTGCCTCTCATAGACAACCCCGCTAGAGGCGGCTATGCAGGGTCTGGTAGAACCGAGAGTTTCTCCAGATCTCAAAGGGACGGAGACAACGGTCGGCCTATCAAAGAAAGGTGTCGTTGCGCGTGGGTGTGAGGTGCCTGGTGTTGAGGTAGCATTGTAAGGATGGTTGAGGTTGGGTGCTTGGGACGGGAGCCAATGAGGAGTGGCGAGGGAGGGCGTGCCAAATCCACTGACGGGAATGCAGGGACGGGGTTGCGCTTCGAGAACGTGTGGGCATAGCGCGACTCCACGACATGGCTCGGCCTTGTTGCCTCCATGCAAGTCACTTTGGATTATCTGGTGCGCGAGGCGACGATCCGGAGGATGTCGGCATCTGCGAGCCTTGTGCAATCGCATTAGCTAAGATCTGAAGCTCAAGCTATCAATCACCGTTGGGGTTTGAGATCAGGAAGATATTCGTCTCGAGTTGGGCTTCGCGAATGTCTGAGATGATAATCATAAGCAAGAAGCAGATGTCGTTGAGGCGTAGTGCTGGCGTGATGCTCCAGCACGCGGTGATTGTCATCCACCCAGGTCCTGCAAATGTCAGCCTTCATTCTGTCACATTCTTTTCGGGTGACTGTCGTGTTGGAAACTGATTCAGTCATCGTGAGTATCATGATAGAAATAAGCGTACTGTGTGCGGCCCTCGTTCTTCATGAAGTGCGCTGTTCACGAGGCATCCAACCCGAAAGTCACGCTAGATGACTGCGACCCAACCTTGTTATTCGTAATCGTCATTCCCGCTATGGTACTATGCTGAAGGTCTAAGTATTATTACAAGCCTGGCATTCGAGTGCAAGCCACCACCATCCAACCACACTTTAAGCGTAGAAGTTGACCGTGTCCTTCTTCTTAGCCTGCACCTCAGCAATAGCATCAACGTAATGCTCGTGACTAATCTTCTGGTGACCAGTCCGGAGAGCGATCATACCAGCCTCGACACACACAGCCTTCAGCTGCGCACCACCGAACTCGTCGGTACTACGCGCCAACTCTTGCCAGTTGACAGCGTCGTCAACCGTCATCTTCCGCGAGTGGATGCGCATGATCTGTGCGCGAGCCTCCTCGTTGGGTAGCGGGAATTCGATCTTCCTGTCCAGACGTCCAGAACGTAGCAGAGCAGGATCCAAGACGTCGACTCGGTTCGTCGCAGCAAGGACCTTAACACGGTCGTCTGAGGCGAAACCATCCAACTGGTTCAGCAACTCCAACATGGTTCGCTGAACTTCCCTGTCTCCGGACTTCTCGGAATCGAATCGCTTTGTACCGACGGCATCCAACTCGTCGATGAAGATGATTGAGGGGGCCTTTTCTTTCGCCAGAGCGAAGCAGTCACGGACCAACTTTGCACCGTCACCGATAAACATCTGTACGAGTTGTGGACCGGCGAGCTTGAGGAACGTGGCGTCGGTTTGCGCAGCGCAGGCTCGGGCGAGAAGAGTCTTTCCGGTACCAGGAGGGCCGTACATCAGTGCACCTGTAATGGTTAGTTGTAGTCGCGGAATGAGCGTAGGAGCTACTCACCCTTTGGCGCCTTGATGCCAATCTTCTTGAACCGCTCAGCCTCCTTCATAGGCCAGACTACAGCCTCGACAAGCTCCTCAATCTGCTTGTCCAGACCTCCGACATCAGTGTACTTCTCAGTCGGCTTCTCGTCAACTTCCATAGCCTTCACCCGACTGTCGTACTCTGCGGGTAATGTATCGAGAACGAGGTATGAGTCCTTGTTCACACCAATGAGGTCACCGGGCTTGAGCTTCTCGTGATCGACTAGTCCGATGAGGGGCAAGAAGATGGTCTGTCGCGTAGAGGTCTTGATAACGGCCGACTTGCCGACGCGGGTGGCGTCTAAATCGATGTTTGCTCCCTCCTCAGCGGCTTCTTCGGTGACGTCCAGATCAAGAATCTCGACGACGTTTCCAACGAGATAGGGCAGTTGCCTGTGAGATGTAAGTCTGTTGTTCGAAACACCGCCACGCGGGGCCGACAGCGGTCACATAGATGTCATACCTATTGTTCTCGATCTTCTCTAGGTTGTCCTTGATCTTCTCGTTCATTGAGGCCTTTTCGTGTGTGAGTCGTTGGTACTCGCTCTTCATGATGCGCATGTCATTCTCCAGTAACCGCCTTCGTGCAACGATGTCTCGTGTGCTTGAGTTGAGGATCTCCTCGTCGAGCTGCTCCTCCTCTGGCTCCGCATCCTCCATCTCTGCATCGCCATCGGCCTTCTTTCCTTGTTTGTCTCCGTCTTTCTTATCATCGTCCTTCTTCTCTTCCTTCTCGTGACGCTCGATGTCGTCGAGATCTTCGAGTGTAGACATGGTGGCGGTCTTATCTGGGTGACTTTACGCGGGTGTAGTGAGAGGAGATGGATGAGCGAGTGCAAGAGTGATTGTGGAGAGTGACGCCGATAGTGAAGTTGTTGTTGTGCGGCGGTGATGTGGAGCTGTAGAGGCAGCTATGGATTACGAAGGTACGCACGGTGAGCACCTTAGCTCCGATTGTCTTGGCATCTGTCACGCCGATCCGTCGCGAAACACGTTGCAGCAATAACAGTGTATTACAGATGTCGTGTTCGCCTACAAGAGAGATTGATTGATGAGCTGTATCAGATATGTGATACACGCATGAGATTAGGGTTCGACAGTGTGCGCGTGCAAGTATCCATTCAAGAGGTAGTCGCTGGTGCATTCCGAAGAAGAAACAATACTAACTACCTCCGAATTCCTGTGCATCACTACAAATGACTCCTGTCACCCTCATCTGTATACTGCGTCACAGACAAGAATCAAACGACTCTTTGCACGGCAATACTTCTACCTACTACAGTAGAGCATAGTAAGAACAATAAGAATGTACATAGGAAACTTTGAAGATTACAACTATACCTTTGTTTATAAGTTTCCTCGTTAGAAGGTAATACAGGCTGTAAGGTAGAGCTTGTAAATTCTGTGCAAGACGATTTTGTTCCTTGTATGGGTATGTTGTCATTAGGATGGTGGGTAAGACAAGCCGAAGCTTTTGACTATACCACATGTTTCATGAGTCTATCTATTGTCTAACTTTCTAAAACTTCATCCATCTCCCTCGGGCACCTTGGCCTAATGGTAAGGCGTTGCTTTCCGGTGGCAAAGATTGTGGGTTCGAGTCCCACAGGTGTCGTTAATTTCTTTTTTGCTTTTTTTTTTTGCTATCCTTTGATCATGGACCGACTTGCGATTGCGCTTATTGTTTGGGGCTTGGTGATCTATGTCATTATCGCCATCGTCGTCGACTGCGACACTGCTAGTGGATCGACTCTTACGCTTTTTGCAGTGAGTTACGGCGACATCTTCGTCACTATCGAGAGTACCTAGTCGCTTATCTGGTGCCTCTATTCCTTGGGATTGACTGCGGCTGCGCCTGGTAGAAGTAAATCGCGTTCCCTACAAGACTGCCTTGACGACTGACGTAGACTTCGCCAATTCGATAGGGAACACTGTTCTGTGAGAGCTTTGGTTTGAGTCTCATCTGATATGGCGGCTCTAAGCAAATCGTGTTCGGTCGCGTTTGCTAGCACGTACTTCCGCACGTCTTTGCTCTATTCCGTAGAAGATATGTTAGGTTACAGTATAGTATCAGTGCTACAGCTCGGAAACTTTATGATCTATTGTCTCAGGTGATGTTAGATGATTGTTGTGATATTTTTGATCGTTGCTATATTGAATCTTGTCTCTTTTTGCCTCTTACTAAAGTAGAGTACTTCTTACTACTACAACGAATTGTATTAGAGCTGTATAGATATATATATATAGAGTCTAGAAGTCTACAATGCTATTAATCTTTATGATATCTCTTGTTAGAAGCTAGTGTAAGCTGTAAGGTAGAGTTGATTATCTCCACCTATTCGGTTTTCCTCTTGTATGAGGTGCGAGGACATTGGGACTAGCACAAATCCAGCATAGCTTCAACAATGTGGCTGAACGAGATTCTTCGTATTCGACTTGTAGCTCCAAGATATGGCCGAGGTCACGTTAGGTGGTTGAAGAGCATACCCGTGCTAATGCTACTTCGCAACCGCCCGACCTCCGAGCTTCTTCGTCAGTGCACACAAGTCTTCACACTCTACTTGCACTTAGTACTGCTGCATCCTACCGCAATTCTTGTGCATCACAAGTCTCATCTCGCCTTGTTAATTCCCAAGAACTGAATGTCATGTTCTCGGCAAGAGCACTCCGGTGCGCTCATGTTCCGAATGTCGTCCGACGTACTGCGCTTCATCCATTATACAAGAAGGTCGGTTTCAGCACGTGTTCGAAGGCGTCCCACAACATTAATCAAATGACTAGACTTTAATCCGTCTGAATTCGTCATCCAGTATTGGCGCGACTGTAAGGAAAGAGCAAAACACTCAAGTTGACGCACAAACCGCACCTGCCAGTTCCACAGCCCAAAAGCAGAGCACCAAAGATGTTGCGGAAACCCAAACTTCCCAGCAAGAGAAGGTCGAAGGGCTCGCGCCCTCCACACCACGTCTCGACGAACGCCTTGGTGTAGAGAACATGAATAAAGCCAAAGAATTGAGCACATTCACTAAACTGCTGACCTATGAGCTCAAGAAGATTTACGGTCACCAACGCTTTCTCAAAAGAATCTTGGGAGGCCCGTATAGAGTGCGAGAAAGTCTTAACACGTCTCCAGGCGGGCATGTGAACATCCCTCGGACAGAGTTCCGTGAGGACAAGCTCTATGTCGGCTCGCGACCAATACCGAACATATGGTTGCGGGATAATTGCCAATGCGGAAGTTGCATGCACGACACTACCAAGCAGCGACTGCTTGACACGTTCTCTATACCCAAGGATATCTCGATCAAATCACACTGGATCGAGGGTGAAGGAGAAGATCCCACATTCAAGATTGAGTGGAGTGACGGCCACGAGAGCAGATACCTGCGCTCTTTCCTGGCTCAAACCACCACTACTGAGGACTTCAAAGCCATTCAGCGCCAAGGGCTTGTCGAACTCAACCTATGGGATTCAAGAATCGCCTCCAACCCCCCAACACAGGCATACCACCACGTGATGAGCCGCGACGATCCCCAAAAACTTCTGAGGAAGATCCGTACACATGGATTTTGCTACGTCGACGGAACACCTTCTGAAAATCCTTTGTTCACAAAGATGTTACTGGAGAGGATTTCTTTCATTCGTGAAACGCATTATGGGGGCTTCTACGACTTTACTGCGGATCTAGCATCAAACGACACAGCATACACCAACATCGCCCTCGAAGCTCACACAGACACGACCTACTTCTCCGACCCCGCGGGTCTGCAAGCCTTCCATCTGCTCTCGCACACCGACGGCGAAGGCGGCGCGAGCTTGCTCGTCGACGGATTCAAAGCCGCAGAGGAGCTGAGACGAACGGACCGGAAAGCATACGAGATCTTGTCCACGGTGAATGTTCATGCACACGCAAGTGGAAACGAGGGTATAAGTATACAGCCCTACCGCGGTTTCCCCGTCCTAGAACACGACTCCGCCACCGGTGATCTCCTCCGCGTCCGGTGGAATTCTTCTGACAGAGCCTCCATTGAGCTTCCCATCGAAGAAGTCGAGACGTGGTACGATGCAGCCCGAAAATTCGACGCCATACTCAAGAAGAAGGAGAATGAGTATTGGGAACAGCTTGTCCCAGGGAGGGTACTTATCTTTGATAACTGGAGGGTGTTGCATGGGCGGAGTAGCTTTACAGGGAAGCGGAGGATTTGTGGAGGGTATGTCAACAGGGACGATTGGATAAGCAAGTTTAAGATGCTAGAGTTTGGCAGCGAAGACGTGTTGAAGGGGTTGGCTGTGAACTAGATGTGAAAAATGAAGAAGAAAAAAAAAACTTGACAAGGTAGAAATACTGTACACAGGACATGTTTTCAGGAGCTGGTAGTGGTGTGCAAAAACGTGATGTCTGGTTCATCAGAACTTATATACACTCTGGATACCAAGTTGACCATTCCCCTACGAACCCCTCGCAGCCCTCTCCTGTTCCAGCTCCAACTCGGCTTGGCGATAGTACTTGGCAGTGTCCACACCGTGGTAAGGGTGGTTGACAAAGTTTGGCCACGTGAGGACATGAGCAAATGTAGCGGCGTAACGCGAGTTCCTGTGCGCAACGCCCTGCATGTACTCGGTCATCTCAGTAGTTCCGTACAGAGGCTCGCCTTTCTTGACTTTGTCGACCATTTCCCGCATGTCCATTTCGACTTCGCGGCGGTTCTCGCGGGCGCCGTAGAAACGCACTAATGTACGTGTTAGTATCCGATTCTGCGCACAGTATGGAAAGGGCCCGTGTGGTTTGAACTGGGTGGGAAGTGGTGGACGTACTGCATGACCTCGAGTAGGCGAAAAGAAAGGCGCCGGTAACACCGACGGCACCGCTCAATCGCATGATGGGAGCGAAACCGCCCTTGCCGACCATGGAGGGTGAGACCCTCTCCCAGTAAAGCATCAGTCCAGGACTCAGGGCTCCGAGCGCGGCACCGTAAGCCCAGTCCGAAGGGCGGGTGTATCGCATGACTCGTTTGAAGTGTCTTCATTTAGGGTCAGTATGCGCGTGCGTTGGATATGGTAGAGGGGGCGTACGGGTCATTGTCGATGAGCTGCCATGGGTTAGCTACTGCCGTCCATTGCAGAGGGCGTAGGCGCGCAATTGACTCACAGGATACTCTCCCGTGGGGATCTTGTCCGGCACAACAGCCTGGTGCCTGACAGCGGCGTCCTGCGAAGACATGTTGGTGTTGACTTTGGTCGTCTCTACTGCCGAGTATCTTGTGTTCGCGAGGTGAGGTTCCGCCAGGCGGGCGGCAAGTGCCGCCATGCGGGCTTTGGCCCTAGTGTGGCTCTGAGCTTCGGCGCGACGCCATTGCAACTACTTTTATTTCCTTGGCGCGTCACACCCGCAACACCCATTCTCGGAACTTGTCTTTTGCGACAACAATGCGCGCCGGCTCCTTTACGTGCGCACTACAACCATCCCGACCGCGAACATGGCTATGAAAGTTGACGATATGGAGGACGTCAAGCCAACCGGCTTGACCATGGCCAACGGCGCGTCCGATGCGCCCGCCGATTCGTCAAGCCTACACGCCCGCCCTACTGTCGCCGACTTGCACGGGGAGAACCATTTCGCGCAGGTGGCGAGGAAGAACTGGCTGTCCGCCAAGAAGACACCCAAAGTGCGACCCGAAGTGGTCAAGAAAGAGCTGTGGGACGAGCTGGAGAATGTCGACTTTGCGTATTCGTCACTCTTGATTCTGGAGAACCTGCAGCTTCTGGAGAGATATCTGTGGCCTGGCTTTACTGATGAAGCGTCCAACTTTCATGTCCTGCTGGTGGCGCTCATGGTCAATGTCAAGAGGAGGGAGAATCTGACGTGCTGGGGTGAGTGCATGCGATTCCTGGTTATCGACAACACATGCTAATGGCCGCAGACCACTTTGCTAGCAAGCCCGCCGAGTTCTCCTCCTTTTTCCGCCGCATACTGTCCATGACCGTAGACCCGTCGCAGCCAAGCAAGATCCGGACACAGCTCATATCCTTTGTCATCGGCGCCTTCCAGTCCTTGGACAGCGGTCTTGTGCGAAAAGAGTGCGCCCCTCTCGTTGGCATATCGATATGGCAAAACCTCCACTCCGACGCCGTGCGCGAACAGTATTTCGAGGAACACAGCATGTTGCGCAAGGCATGGAGAGCTGCGTCCAAGCGGTTCGATGCTGGCGATGAAGCGCTACAGGCCAGGCTCCGATTCGAGCGGTCATGGATATATACACTTTTGCTCGACTTCATCGACCGGCTGTACAACACCACCAGCAGGGACGAGGCTAGGGATAACATGACCTACTGCGAGCGCTTCATGGAGCTTCTAGTAGACCTGCAGAGCCAGCTACCAACAAGGAGATATGTCAATACGCTGCTTCACGACTTGAATATGCTGCCAGCTATTCGATTGTCGCCCATGTACACAGACGAGGACAATGGCCTTTTCCGGGACCTGTTCGACTTGCTGTGCCACTTTACCAACTTCCCCATCGAGGACCAAACAGGGAGGCAACTGTCCAAGCTAGAGTACGACCAACAGCATTACGATACTCTGGCAAAGTTGCAACGGACGGGTTATGCTGCCTTCCAGGAGAAGCTTCAGCTAATGGCCCTGGCAAACTACAGTAGCATTGGGAATCGGGAGGAGCTGGACGGCCATCTGCGCACACTGAGCGATAGTGAGCTCGTCGAGCTTTGCTCTCTCATGGGCCTACGGACAGAATACTCCACTACCACTTACCTGGTGCGGGATCGAGCTTTCCACATGGAGACCCTGATTGCGCTTGTCGAGCAGCGCCCTACCTTCAAGGACAACGTTCGCGACATGCCAGTATTGCCAACTGAGAAGGTTCTCTACGAAACCACATTCCTGCGAAACGAGTCTTACGACGGATCTAGACCGCTCGCTATACCTAAGCTGAACCTCCAGTACCTGACCATGGGCGACTTTTTGTGGCGATCCTTCATCCTGTACCGCGCGGAATCATTCTATGGTATCCGAAAGGACATGGAGGACGTAGTCAAACGCGTAAAGCCCAAGGGCAGAGGCGTCAACACCAAGTTTGGCGGTGTGTCCAAAATGTCACTGCCCATAATGAAGCCCGCCATCGTCGATGTTGCACCGTCCAAGGTCGGCGAGGAGCACCCCGCATACGTTCGTGCTGAGATTATACTGGATGTTAGCCGCCTTCAATACCCAGTACGAAGGGACTGGGAACAGCTCAGGCCAGATGATGTCGTCTTCCTGCTTGCTGTCGAGGGTAAAGATGACGTACCCATGCGCAACGGTCACCGCGAGGACGTCACTACTGGGGAGCAGCTCGGCCTGCACCGGATGAGATGCGCCCAGGTGGTTCACGTTCTGGATGACAAAGGACGGCCTCTACGCGAATCAGCCCGCGACAATGGTTTTGGACCTCGTGTACGCCAACGACGACTCCTCGTCAACATCGACGCCAAGCAATACAAGACCGACATGGACCAGGCTGCCGAAGGAAGACCTAACGTTTACGAACACATCAACCTCATCGTCCGCCGGAAAGGACGGGAGAACAACTTCCTGCCTATCCTGGAGTCTATCAGGCGCCTGACGCTCTCGGACATCCCGGCACCATCTTGGCTCCAAGAGGTGTTTTTAGGATATGGTGATCCTGCATCAGCGACCTACAAGCGCCTTCCGAATCGACTGAACAAGATAGATTTCCGCGACACCTTCCTGGACTGGCAGCACCTAATCGAGTCCATGCCCGGCAAATCCATCGAACCCCACGAGGAAGCACAGACATCCTTTGGGCCTCCATACGTCGTGGAATACGCTGCTGCATCCGAACCAAAACTCGCACCCCCTAAAGCGTCCAAAAAGCGGCGTCGCAATCAGGTTGAGGTAGCACAACCTCTGCATGAATCGCTTCATGTATCCTCGTACAAACCACCGAACATGGGGCCTTACCCCGCTGATGCACCGAAGACGAATGCGGTCAGGTTCACGCCGAAACAAATTGAAGCCATCACTTCGGGAACGCAGCCTGGTCTTACGGTCGTGCTCGGACCACCTGGTACCGGCAAGACGGACGTTGCGACCCAGATTATATCCAATATATATCACAATTTTCCGGACCAGCGGACTTTGCTCGTTGCGCATAGCAATCAGGCGCTGAACCAGCTGTTCCAGAAAATTGTGGCGCTGGACATTGATGAAAGACATTTGTTGCGGCTGGGTCATGGCGAAGAGGACTTGGAAACTGATGTGAGCTACAGCAAGCACGGACGTGTGGAGTCGTTTCTCGAGAGGGGACAATACTACCTCTCTGAAGTTGATCGCCTAGCGAAGAATTTTGGTGCGCCTGGTGCGCATAGCAGCTCATGCGAAACAGCAGACTACTTCAACCTTGTGTATGTGAAGCCAGCGTGGACGCAATACTGGGACGCCGTCTCTTCCGAGGACGTGAGCGTCGAGCAGATTGTCACCGAGTTTCCATTCAAAGACTACTTCTCCAACGCACCACAACCTCTTTTCCCCCAGGCTGCAGACCGCGAAGAGATTCTTGAGATTGCACAGGGATGTTACCGCCACATCGAGAAGGTCTTTGCCGAGCTGGAAGACATCCGTCCGTTTGAGATTTTGCGAAACCCACGCGATAAAGCAAACTACCTGCTCATAAAAGAGGCTCGCATCATCGCCATGACATCAACCCACGCCGCGATGCGCCGACAGGAGATTGCCAAGTTGGGTTTCCACTACGACAACGTCATCATGGAAGAAGCTGCTCAGATTACCGAGATAGAAAACTTCATCCCGCTCGCGTTGCAAAACCCGCGGGAGCAGGAGGACGGTGAGAGAGAGTTGCCGCTTCAGCGCATTGTCCTTGTGGGTGATCACTTGCAGAACAGCCCGGTGATACAGAACCTCGCTTTCCGACAGTACGCAAATCTTGAACAGAGTTTGTTCCAAAGACTGGTTAGACTGGGTGTGCCGACTATCATGCTCGACCAGCAAGGTCGTGCCCGTCCCTCTATTGCCGAACTGTACAAGTGGCGATACCCCGCCCTCTCCAACCTGCCTTCTCTCCTTTCAAACCCAGAGTTCCAAACAGCGAATCCCGGGTTCAAGCACGAATTCCAATTCATCGACGTGGGCGACTACAAGGGCAAAGGGGAAGACCAGCCGACGCCGCACTGGATGATTAATCTGGGCGAGGCCGAGTATGCCGTTGCGCTGTTTATGTATATGCGTTTACTTGGGTATCCTGCACATAAGATCAGCATTCTCACCACGTATGCTGGTCAGAGGTCGTTGATCAACGATGTTTTGGGACACAAGTGCAAAAACAACCCGCTCTTTGGGCGACCGAAGCATGTTAGTACCGTGGATAAGTATCAGGGTGAACAGAACGATTGTAAGTCGCTATCCTATACTCTAGAAGAGAGAGAGAGAGAGAGACGCATTAGATGGACAGACGCTAACACGACGTGTGTGTGTTTACAGATATCATTTTGTCACTTGTACGAACGCGCGCCATTGGCTACTTGAGAGACATCCGACGCCTCACCGTCGCCTTGTCGCGCGCAAGACTCGGTCTGTACGTCCTCGGTCGTCGCTCCGTCTTTGAAAGCGTTTTCGAACTCAAACCGGCGTTTGACGTCTTACTCCAGCGCCCGGATAAACTCACCTTGGTCACGGACGAGATGTTTGGTGAGACGAGGCGGTCGGTAGAACAAGGAGAAGGAGAAGAAGAGGTGCAGGGGGCTGTCATGGAAGATGTAGAGCATCTGGGCAAGTATGTGTATGAGATGACAAAGGCAAAGGTGGAGGCTATCAAGGCGAATGGCGGGCAGATGCCGAGTAGGGAGATTACTATGGGGGAGGCGGGGGTGAATGGCGGCGTCAAGGGTGAGGACGACGACGATGAGGATGATGATAGGCCGGAGAATGTGTTGGTTCCTGAAGAAGTACCCGAGGACTTTGAGGACGACAATGATGATGACCAAGTCGTGGTTTGAGCGTAGGTGGTTCTCGACGTGTGGTAGATTACACAGCGGCTGGGTTGCATTTCAAAAGGCGTAATTTGTACATGTAGTTGCCTGCAAAATTCTTTTTTCTTTTTGGATTGTTTGTGTAGTAGCAGGAGGAGGAGGAGGAGAAGGAGGAAGAGAGGGAAGATGATAGGACTAAGATACCATGATATCGATGCCCACGTGGCATGCACATTTCTATTCCCTGCTTTGCTTGGGTGTATGGCATTGATGTGTAATGATCCTATACTTGGGTCGCGAACGACTTTGCGGATTGCGTGGTTAAATTCGCAATATCTTCTCCGGCACCAAACTTATCTACTCAGATGAGCGACATTGGGACCCTGCACCTCGTTGACACAATAAATTGGACACCTGGTTTGCGACTAGCGTAGGTAAAGTGTCCGATTTATTGTGACACCCCGGTGCTGAATCACACAAGTATTATATTCCTGATTGAGAATGATCCGTCTTCACACGCCTGACCATCCATCATGCCGTGCACATAACACTCACCAATAAACTCATGATGGCCATCCTGACGAGTTCTCAATGCATAGCAAACCTGTCCTCCTAGAAGAAGACAGATTTCGTCATCTATCTGAGCGGCTGCCGGTCCCAGTCCGATAAAGCCTCGACTAGTTTCGAACAACCTTCTCCCGAACGTTACCATCTTTGTATCGATAAGCATCCAGCTCTGCCTCCGACGTTCTTCAGCAGTCAAATGTTTTCTGTCCTGTCCAACCAAGTCCCAATCTATGGCAAATGCCCGCGATAATTCAGCATCGTTTTCAAAGTTTCTTCGTCCAATATCACCTACGATAGCGTGATTGAATGCTTCCATCAACGTCTCTCCGGTGAAGTACAGTTTGCTTGCGTTTTCTGGTATCCATGATCGCTCCAAGTCGAGCCCTCCAGCGGCCAAATTCCACTCGCATACACTCGATACTCGGATTATGCGGTCAAGTACTGATCCTTGAAGACATAAATGCGAGCCGTCAATGTAGCAGTGTCCACCACTCGTCCCGCTAGCGTTGTAGGCATTCTTACTTTTTCCGTACGTATCTGAGTCTAAAACCTTTTCAAAAGGATGCTGGGATGCTCTGAACGTCCAATCTGGTGTCCAGGACGGCAATGACTTATCATGTTGGTGCTCAAAGGCTGTGCCTGGTGCTGATCTCCATACCTCACCGAGGACATCCAGAGAACGATCAGTCGACCTCGAGATGTAAAAACGGACAATGTCGCTGTAGACCGCTGAGGAAGGTTTTGTATAATCCGGAACTATATCATCCCCGTACACGTCCATGGCCATTCCGAGGGCTGAGTACAGCTTGTCGCGAGGATCTTCACATTCGTATGCTCGGATAAGTCTCAGGACGCGTAACAGCGAGATGTTTGCGCCATATTCTCTGTCTATCCGGAAAGCGTCAAGCCGAATAGCCATACCGTCGTCGAAATCAATACTCATACCAGAGCCTTGGTAATGCGTGACGTGATGGGTAATCTGAAGGGCTGCTCGTAGATAGGTCCAGTCAATCCTACGGCTCCCGCAAAATAGGATCGTACGCATAGGGTTGCCAATGGTCCCCTCTTGAACTATCCATGCTCTTCTCCACCAAGGCCGACGACATATCATTCGTAATGCTTCCAGCGCCCTCTGTTCTTGCGAGCCGCAAGGACCAAAGAAGAGAGGGTCGTCAGAAGAGATACTTGTAACTGCTAACTCCTCGGATGCATCGAATTGTTCTTTGAGTTCATCAAATCTCACCTTCCATTCCTTCATTTTATCAAACGCTAGATCGCTATCATGTGCAGCTGGGCCAAGCCAAATCGCAACCATCTCCGCTGAACGGTATATTGTATTCATGAGTCGGACTTGGCTGCTGCGCTCATGAACGTCTGCCTGGTTGATACATATCGAGTCTGCCCAGAACATCATGCTTCTTTCTCTTGCGAAGATAAAAATCGCATCAATAGCCTCGGCTAAGTTTGCAGTAATACGAATCTCGGCACCATTCGCAAGGATAACTCTTGATAGATCCTTGCATCCCCATGTGTACGACAGCGCCACGTATGGCGGGGCTTTCTCTACCTCGACTGTGACTATCTTGCAGATTGGAATGGGACTGGGTAGAAACTTGACCAGTCTAATGGCTCGGTTGGATTGGAGAGGCTCATATGAGAATCTTCTCATTTTCTCGATTCAGGGCGTTGTTGACGGGTTCTAGCTTTCACTCGTATCAGGCTGGATGATCGGTAACGTTTGGCTGTCTTCGTCCGTATGTCCTTCGAGAATAGCAGTGGTAGCTAACGAGGTTGCTGCAGCTATCAGTGCCTAAATTTCACCATATTGTATGGGAAAATGTATTGTAGAAGAGCAACGGTGCGAGAGGTGAGAGGTTGGGATGGATCACGGTTGGATCATGTTGGTGGGGGGCGCAGCCAGGTTGTGGCGGAGCAAGGCTGATTGATTGAACTCATTCCGCCTTTGCAACACCAAAACTCCAACGCCTCGTGACTCCATCACCATGAATCCAGTTAAGGCCATAATTGCAACTACAGGATCGCTAGAACCAGGAAACCTTGTATGCGCCCAGATTGCGAGCCATCTAGCCTACAATGCTAGCTAGGCGACACAAAGGCGCATCAACCTCACAGCCTCAACCGCGAATAAAGTTGCTTTTATGCTCATGATACCCTGATGCAAAGATTTCGGATCTCCAAGTTGTCCCTAGCGCGATTTCGTGACCCTATCCAAGATCAATCAGGTTTCCATGTATAGATTCTTGTCAACCGCCCATACAATCAAAGCCCAGCTACCACCGCGGAAGTGTTGAGTCTCGAAACCAACAGCAAGCGTGTCTTCTCCCAAAGACCCATATGTTCTTCGCCACCATCCATTGGTATCGTCTTGCCAACCACTCTCGACCTGTGCTCCAACAACTCGGCGTCCAGGGAGGCACATGGACACCTCATTCTTTAGACACACAGGCATACCATCACGCTTACTCTCAGGGTCCCAGTCCTCTCGATATTCTATAACTTCATTACATAGACTCTCGTGCACATCATCAGGGCAGATTCCAATCTTCCATTGTGGGGTGCTGTGGGCTTTCACCCATTTGTTTCTGCAAGTCAATCAGTCTCACTTCAGCCATTGAATTAGAGAGGCATTTGCTTACAACTTCCACTTCTCGGTTTGGTCTTCTGTTTCAGTCATCATCTTTGCCAGCTTTCGCCGTCGATCCCACACTCCCCTTAGCTCTTCTCGGACGTTCTTTAGAGTCGCTACGCATTGTTGAAGGGCTTTGTCATCATCTTCGGCGTATACGTGTAGATCGGCCAGCTTCAAAATCGTCGACTGTACGGATATCTCTAGGGCTCGAGCGCCGACCAGACGATTGGATCGAGCAGCAACCTGGAGAAGCTGGGCAAGCTCAGCTGCGTTCCGAAAGTCTTCTGTGATAGACAATGACCCCTCCGGATGTTTGATTCTGATGTCGATATTGGCATAGTGCGTAATGTGCGCCAGGACTGGTATAGGCGTATAGTGCTCAAGGAAGTTGACCCAAGCTTTCTGAATATCGATTTTGTGGAGCTGGTGTTGCAAGTTCCGCGAACTGCATCCAACGACGACGACTTCATGCGTTTCCCTGATGCTACCGGATATGTGGGAGGAACCCATCTCAAAGGAAGATGCAGCTTCGACGGACACCGCTTTTCCGCTGAAATCCGCTGAAAGCGTACTGGCAAATCGGTCGAGTTCCTGCTTCGTATCGGCCGAGTAGGTGCTCACGGAAAAGAACGTGGATTGAAGAGTTCTTCCAGTAATGCAGTATTGGCCGTACCTTGTCGTGAAGGTTCGTGCGTTGTCTTCCCCGTACCAATTCAGCCGACCAAAACAGGACTCTGCTTCGTCAGAGAGCTCAAGCAAACGCTCATAATGCTCAGCAGGCAGTGTAATAGTGCAACGCTTAATCACTGTCATGCACGTCTCGCTACATTGAGCGGTCTTTAGTGCTTCCAGGGAGGCTTTAAGGTTGAAGACAGTAAAGACCGATGCAAGTGCACGTGTGTCAGAGGTCATGTATTGGAGTAAAGTTTCCTCATCGCGCAATATCTTGCTGCTGATCTCCAGAGTGTGCAGGCCCGTACTTGGAAGTTCAGAAGAGGGATGACATGGCCAAAAAGGCGAGCGCAGCGATTGCTGTTTGTGGAGATCGTAGCCGGAGCCAATTTTCATATAGTTGTCGTCCCACGGTATGCACCCGTGTTCGCGGATATGAGACGAGAACATAGAGTCCATAATTGGCTTTAGTCGATAGAAGGTTTCCGGGTACCAGCACTAAGAGCCACGCCTGGTGCTGATGTAGTGTGCAAAAAGAAAAAAATACATACAACAGCGGGGATTCGCTAGTGGTCACCCACCTAACTACTAATCCGCCGGTACACTGCTTGTATATGGCTGAGCGGACGGGAAGCCTAATTTTCAGTGTCCTATGGTCGTATGTGTTAATTCAGTACGTATGCTAACTTATAAGCGTGATAACAAATCCCGTTAAGCCACTACGTACTGACAATCATGCCTTCCGTCACCAGCCACGGTTCCAAACACCGGATGTTGAGAAAGATGTAAAGATTCTGGCCTTCAATAGTAACAGGCGCCGCACAGATGCTTCTCTATGCTTGGATAAAGAGGATGGCGCTGACGGCGACAAGATCAAGAATCATAATCCCAAGTTGCATTCAGCGCTTCTGGACCTCTGGAATCACGCAGTCCAGCCAGCCTTGCAAGCAATAAAACTCCTAAGGCACGACCCCAAGCTGAAACCATTACCTCGCGTGAGGTGGGTTGTCAGTGGCATTACATCATTGCTGCCGCTCCACGCTGCAGGATCACACACTCCCGGGTCAACTAACTGATAACACTATCAGTCATGTTGTCTCTTCGTGTTCTGCAAGTCTTATAGCGCTAGACTCACTTTGTCGAAAACCTTAATTTGCGATACATGATGAGAAAGCAAATGTTGTTGTAGTGCCCATGCCAACAAGCCCTAGGCATACGCCTTTGGCTTTTGCTTAAGAAGTGGAGGCAATTGTGACACATACTATGTTTTGGGCATCCACTGTCTGCCTTGAGTAGCCAACAAAGAAGCGAGTTTTGTATGCATTAACATCTTGCACAATTGCTCACTTTGCGTGCCACGGTATCGTAGATGAGAACAATCTATTGCAAAACGGGTTGATTATCGCACAAGAAGCAGACGAGAATTTGAGTGTTGCCGACGTCGAGAGTGTAACGTGTGAGCGTTCTAGAATTGCTTAGCATACTAAAAAATGTTACTTCCGTAGCTATCTGTAATGGTCTTTTTATGTTGCAATAAAGCATCAAAGTTAGCATTTTTTCTAGTTCACGGGACTCTGCGCCTGCTTGGTCTCAGTGGCTCCTGCTACACAACAACGTTTCCTTCCTCCCGCGTTAATCACCTCGCCTGCTGCTTCATGATTTGTCTCGTACGCTCTTCCGTTGTTATGAGATTAGGATAGAGAAGGAAGGCAACCCCCTCTTTATTTACAAGTAGCTCGCGCTCCCGCAAAATCTTTCTAACACTCTTCTACTGCACGACTTGCTCACATTGGTACCCGAAGCCATCTAGTATTTACTACAGATTGCCTTCTGATTGACCGCTATCTTCATTATTCGCCTCCACTTCTGTCACTGCGCGCCCAACTTCCACCACACTTTCTCATCGGCCATGGACTCAACGACCACTGTGGACCTCAGCTAGTGCCGAATACTTCCAGGTATGACTTGCTCTTCCGAAGCGAAAGATGAAATCTAACCCAGAACTGTAGGCATCATGTCATCACTGGTCCTCGTCTCGATCCATACTCCTTCCCTCCTCGAAACGTCCCATACACAAGGGTAGACAGCATCTCCAAATACTCAACCTACGGCCTGTCTCCAGAATGGTGACAATGACTGTGGTTCGACTATCAGGATTGCGGTATGCCTGGTGTAAGGGATGTTCTGAGGCAAGGTAGGGACCCCCTGCTCAACCTCAGTGAAGAAAATTGTCATCCTTCCGACAGGAGTCCCTCGACAAGAGGGATACCATTTATGAAGATATATGTGCATATAGAGAGGCACTGAAGGGCGGTCGGGTTTTTTCTAGTTTTTCCTCCGCGCTCTACTCAGTCTTTATGGCTGACAAAGAAAAACTGCAGGGCGACTCAATCTTTGGATTGTTGAGACAATGGTTTGGTGGTCATCACTGCTAGTACCATGGTTGAAGTGAGTGGTTGCTGGGCTGTGCAGTCCCAGAGTTGCGGTACCATTGAGGGGTTGAGGGGGGCCGCGTGCGAGCCTTGGTACGCTCGTCCATGAGATGACTGAGGAGTCATATTAGGTGTTGCGGTCATGGTTAGAAGTTGGGTCAGGTCCTCGCTGGTTGCTTGACTGGGTAATCTCCAAATTCGTCAGGTGCAGTGGGTGCATGGACCTTGCTAGCTTGCATACACTTGTCATAGCGAATTGATCCCGTGTTTGCATTCTCAATGCTGGATTAGATGACCGGAAGAGCCGAGTTTACTGTGGTTCGAGCTATGACTCCCCTTTAGACCATGGTACGTCGTTGTTGAGGTGAATCCCATCAATGAGCCGCACTTTGGCTAAGAGAAGAGCGGAGGTGCATGGTCTAGAGCCATGCGCTCATGTCGTTACTCATTCACACTACAACCCACGAACCGCAACGCGACATGTGTATCCTAGAATTAAGGGAGACTTGATTTTCTCTAATATCACTTGCTAGTCCTCAGACTCTTGTGCGAGCTGTTATAAGCTATTATTATTTGTTGTTTTCTTCTGTCTATCGCAACTTATTGTGTATCCGTGGATGTGTATAGGTTTAGGTATGTGTAGGTTTGGACGAGTGTACATCACGGAAGAGCGATTAAAAAGTGACAAGACACACGATTTTAGGCCGCCATTGCCCTATGTCTTCTAAGATTTTGGCGTCTTGAACAGCGACGATGTGGAGGAGGCTTCGTGTTAGAGGCCTGTTATTGGCGATGTCGCGCTAGATGAAATATGGCTTAGCGTGGGAAGGACAGAAAACTGTCCACGGTAAGTGGGAGTAATACTTCCACAAACAGTACCATGACAGACGGCGACTCGGACGAGTGATCTAATCTTCAGTGTCCTATGGTCGTATGTGTTGGTTTTGTACATCTGTTGTTTTATATACGTGTTGTTGGATTCCGCTCAGCCACTAGGTACTTTTCAACTATCATCCCCTTAGTCACCAGCGTTGAGAAAAGCAAGTTTCGGTTGAGCATCAGAATGGCAGCACCGAGATCGCTCAATCTCTTTGGCTCAACGGGACGTTATTATTTCTTCAAGAGGTTGATCCAGGAAAGACCGCCCCTGGGTCGTGTTTGGTTAGCATCGTTCGGCCAACCTCTTATATCGTATGCCTCTAGACACAACTAACAATCCTGCAGATCTGCAAGCGATGAATTTGTATTAAAAGATATACCTCCAAACATATTCTCAGCATTTAACGAGAATGTCCGACCAAGACTTGCTCAAACACCCCGCATACGACTACCAGTGGACACCATCCCAGATCAGTGCATATTCGTGTATGAATACCTGAATGATGATGTTTCAAGTCTGGTTCGGCGTCAGATCCCAATGCGAGCTCGGAAGGAGATTCTCAAAGCTACTTTGCAGGGAATTGCAGACATGCACGATCGCGACATTGTCCATTTAGGTGAGTCCAATGATTCGGCTCTTCATACAGTCAGTATAAATGGCTGATCTTCTCTAGACGTCAAACCTGACAACGTTCTGGTTGATTGCCGTAACGTTGACCGAGACGTCGTGGTCGAACAGGTACAGATCTCCGATCTTGAGAATGCAGCCTACCTCCCAAAGCCTAGGTGTATTAAAGGTATGCTAGCTGGGAATGATGACTGGCGCTGCCCTGAAGGTCATCTCAAGGGAGAGCTCAACAAACCTTCTGATTCATACTCATTTGGACTGGTCGTAAGTGCTTAACCTGAGCAAAATCTATTCGTTACTAACATACCAAGTGCATCTACGCTGTTCTCGGGCGCGTTATACTAGGGCGTGATGATGATTTCAGACTACACGTGTCGAAAGGCGCACTACCTGCATTGATCCGCCTGCAGCGCCAAATCTCATATTTTGGAGACAAGGAAGGGTTGAATGGGCTCATGAAGCATGTTGGTGATGAGGAAGTGAACTTTGAGGTTCTTGAAATGCTTTGGGAAGAGCGAGCAGCAGATTATATCCCATATGTGCCGTTCTCAGAGTGGACAGGTGTTGATTTGGCATTCAAAGACTTGATCCGAGGATTGAATAATCTGGACCCCTCACGGAGGCTTACAGCTTGCCAGACATTAGACCATCCCTGGTTTGAAGGCGTCGAATCCGCTTAGTAGTAGTAGTAGTAGTAGTAGTAGTAGTAGTAGTAGTAGTAGTAGTAGTAGTAGTAGTAGTAGTAGTAGTAGTAGTAGTAGT